CTAAAATAAACATCACTGGACTGATAATATCAAGCCCTCACGTTCTTACTCTACAACAGAAATGGGCTTAATATTTTATAAAAGTTTGCTCTGCTTTGCATACTAGTTCTGGAGTTTTGAGCAAATTTAAATATGAAATTTGGCATGAAGAGAGAACTGAGATTTTAAAGAATTTTCATAATTATTCCAAATGTACATAGGGAGCTGCAAACTGAAAAATGAAAAAACTGTGTCTTTGGAAACTCATGTCTGAAACTGCTGAAGCTTGAACTTAAACTTGTGGAGAGAAGATGCAGTCTGAAAAGTCAGCAAAATCAGAGCTACCCTCCAAATATAACATCAGCAGTTAAAAGACAAAACAAATCAAAATTTTTAGAAATTCTGGAAATAAATCATTCAAGTGATTATGGAGCTTGGTAGCTCATTTGACTGGATTCTGACATTGTTTCAACAGCAACCTGGATAAACAATGACTTCTGAAAGTCCCACAAGGGGTCCTGCACCATGAATTGAAGAGGTCCCTACATGTTGCATGCAGGGATAACAGTTGGGTAAGACAGACCAAACCTGACAGGCTGTTTGAAGTGGCCAGCCTTCTATAGACCAGGATTTCTCTGTCATATGGGTGCTGCACATTGAGATTGGTGAGGATGAGACAACGATCATTTATCCAAGAAGATCTCAAAAACCCAAATCTCCACAATGCCTTTAAGAGAAAACCAGATAGAAACCATTGTCCGGAATAACACATAAAGGCTGAAAAGGAAGGAAATAGATGTGGCAAAGACAAGAAAGCAAAATGCCAGATCCTTCAGAGAAAAAGACAGTAGGTGGACCAGAGAGGAGCAACTCCTTGCTATATCTCCAAGGAAAAGCACAAGTCTTTTTGTTTCACTTCTGGCTTGAGAGGCCATTAGTAATCTTTTATTTCTGGGGTTGAACTGTGCTTTCACATCCTTCCAAGTCTGAAAGACATAATCAATAGATTGCATCTGTAACATGCATGGCACAGTTCTACAATAACCTTCTCTGCTTTTCACAGGAAGATAATACTACTTATTTGTCCTTGTGTGCATGTTGTTTTTCTATTCACAGGGATAGTCTTACACAAGTCCTGCTCCTCCATTTCCTGAGACTCCATGGTGACCAGTTGGTCCCATACACAGACAGCTGGTTGTGGCTGTGGAACAGCCAGTGATGGCATGACCCTGTCACCTCCACATCAGACTACATATTCTATTGCCAACTGGGTATGGACTTTAGTTGCTCAGAGCTGGATTCTAATCAAGGCATTAGCATTTTAGTTGTGGAAAGTCATGCAGAGCATACATGTCTTTACACCACCTCATTTTTGTATCCACAAAATGATCCTAATTATGGCTGTCTTATGGCATGTTTTAGAGGATGAATAATTTAAATCATATAAAGCATTTTTTGGTATGTTCAGCAATATTATGTCTTGCCTTCTTCTGTAATTTTTACATATGCCTACACGGGCCTGGAGAGAAATAGCTGGCCACACTCTGAGCATCACATAATGATCAGCAGAAAGAACTCCTCCCCCTCAGTGTGTGCAAATAGCTGTGCAAGTGTTTGTGAAAATCTTAAATGTCTGGTAATCAGAGAACACGCCTTGCTCTTCACATCTCAGAAAATCCCAACAGTGTCTGCATTTAGTAAGTCTCAACTCCTATTTTGAGTCTGAATTTAACCAAAGTTTTTGTTCCTGGTCTATTGCTCCACCTTTGGTAGTCTGTTCTTTCTTTCAACTAGCATATGTATTTGTTATATTATGCCACTGTCAGGGACCCTAAAAATAGTCATATCCTTTTACCAACTGGTGGGCAGTACAGCCATCATTCCTACTTTCTTTAATCATGTTCAAGTTTTATATACTATGATGCACTTCACAGGACTTTCAGGAAATGCTGAGAAATGTTCTCTTCAGAGATAAAAATAATGGCAGCGAGTCATTTCCTTTGTTGCTCTTTGAATTCCATATAAAGTGATCAGCTTAGCATACCTTGCTGGGGTTGGTAAGTGTATCTGTTCACCATGGGTCCACACTGGTGACATTAGTCACTGTGAATTGCTCAAGTGTTGAGATCAAGTACGCAGTCACTGAGTTCATCTGTCAAAAAAGTGATCAGAGTCATATAAAAGTAAAATAAAAAGACTCTATGGCTCCCACGGACACCAAGTTACTTCCATGGAATCAACAGCATCAATATTTGAATGGTCACATATTGTGACACAGAACTCTTACAATGCCTGAAGGCAAGCAATATGGCATTATAAGTTATTTAATGTTGCCCTATAATTGATCATTGCTTTCCTGTTAGTGAGAGATTTTTTTCCCTTCTTTTACCAGGAGTCTTTACCACTTCAACTTTTCAACATGTTTGATATTTTCACAGAACTTTCAGTTTGTGTGAAACCTGACTTTTTTTGGAAACTGACTTTGAAAAAACTTTCAAATGTTTTCCTGTCTGGCACTCACGTAGACAGAGGGCAGTGAAGGAGCTACAGCGGTATTTGGGAGGTAAGTGCCTCTTTAAGAACAACCTTCTCTGTTTCTGGAGAATTATGTCTAGGGCTGTGTTCTCATAAGGAGCAAAGATTCTGGATGGAGATTTTCTGAATTTTGGGAACAAAGCCACTGTGTTTGAATCTAACTGAGAACTGTTTAGTTTGTCAACTGCAGAGAAAAACTTTGCTGAAATCCGTTGAGTTGTCATGACAGACAGGGCCATATGGAAAGTGCTGGAAAAATTCCTCCTTAGACTATAGTGGCTTTGATGGACAGAAACTCTGTGTTCTCAGCTCCAGAATATTCACAGTGCATGACACTGTCTCTAGGGTATACTGTCCAAGGCACGGTCAGCCTCAAAGAAGAATTAAAATGGGACACTGAAAATACTCTGCTGGCCTGAAGGAGCCAGTGAGACTTCATTTCAGTTTATTTATAGAAACATGTTCCTTCATCCCTGAACACATAATATGTGCACAGGCTGATTACATGAACAAAACTCAGAACAGTTACACGGCTGCATTGTGGCCATGTGGCTGAAATTGCCGTGCCAATCAATTGCACCCTTCTAATTGATTATCTGGATGTCCTGTAGAGGATGTGGACATGGAAATCAAAGATATTATATAGCATGACGTTGAAAGTCTGTGCTCTGGATCCAGATTGCCTGGGTTTGAGTTTTGCACCTTAATTTCTTAAGGTTTAATTGCCTCCAGTTTTCCTTCTATGAAACCTGTATAATAGTTACTTCTCATGGGACTGACATGAGGGCTAAGTAAATAAATCTATACACATTAAAAATTACTGCAAATAGCTTCTGGCTCATAGTGAGCACCAATAAGTCAAAATGCAGTAACCATTATTCAAAAACCAAGATGTTGTGCCAATAAACATGATCCTCCATAGCAATAACAAAAAGTGGACTGCAAATTTAGCAAATTCTCTGTTATTCCATCTTGTTTTATTTCTTTCCTCTCTGCATTTCTTTTCCCTGTCCTTTTTTTTCTCTTCACATAGAGCTTTATTGTCTCATCATAATTCCCACTATTACCAGTTACTCCTTCAGTTGTATTTGTAATGGTGAAGCATGGGCAGAAAGGGGCTGCCACAGCAGAAGGGCAGACCTGTCAGGATCTCAAGAATGCCAAGGTGGATGCCTCTGCTGCCCCGTGCTCCCACACCATACCTACCCACAGGCCTGTTCCAAGGAAGAAGCATATTCCTGCGTGGGGGTGGCATGCCATTGGAAGAGGATGCTTGGTGGTGTTATTTTTGCTTCCTACACATGTTGGTGTCTAAAATAGGGCTTTATTCAATTGGTGTAAATGACACATAGACTATGTATAGTGGTAGCATTGGGCCTGTGAGTTGATGGGGACCAGATCACATCAAAGCCCACAGCACAGTGTCTCGCTGGTTGTGCCTGAGCAATCTGCTCGGAGGGTGGCCAGTACAGCGCCCCCATCTCACAGCTCCCCATCTTGGGTCACCTGCCAAATGTGCTTGCACAACCATGGGATTGTGGATGCACCTTGGAACCAGTGACCTGGCATGTTGGCTTCATTTCTCTGGGGCATGCCAGCGGGTCATATTTCCTCTCTAGACCGCCCTCCAAGTTGCACTGTACTCATGAAGGGTAAGCCTGTTCCTTGTTCTTTCATGCTTGGGGACCGAGTGCTCCAAGAGCCTGGACCTCAGCCAGCGTAACTGAATCTTTTAGCTGCAGCTCAGGCTATATTTAAGTGAGGGTATATTGTCTTGCTGCAGTTTGCCTTGTTTAGGAAACTTGCTGAGTTTAACTGGATTTTTTGCAGGATTTTGAAGTGGTGTTGGTTCTAACTCCATTTAGTGATTATAATTAAATGTCTATTGAAAGTATGATCCATGAGGTTTTGAAAGATGGACCTTTTGTACTTGGAGCCAATCCAGAAAGGATCGTAGGAGAGATTTTTGCCTTGTTTGAGATGAATAGGTTGTGTTTCATAAAGTGTCACTTTGGGGAAAAGAGGGACAGAATATTTTGTGCCTTTGAGAAATTTGAGTGTCAGAATTCATCTGATTTGGCGCAGACTTTTTTCTGAGGCAAATATAAAGCTGCCATATGCAAAAGGGAAATTTTGACATAAATCCAGAGTGTCCCGTGGATTTAAAAATGCATCGGGAAAAGTGAATTTTATTTAACAATAGGGGGAAGAAGCCATTTCATCAAACAGGCAGGAGACAGAGACAGAGAGAGACAGAGAGAGAGGTCTCTGAGATGGATGAGGGAGAACATTTGGTGAGCTTGAAATGAGAACAGACACTCCTCCGCTGCCGACTTTGACTTTTTCATCCTTTTAGAGCCTTTTCTCTCTGCCCTCAAGTGTGGTTGCGGTGGGACCAGGGAATGGACACTAAAAATATTTCTGGAATGACGTGACCCTCTCTCGCCCCATTCAGGGAAGGGCCGTGGCTTCCCGAGCGGCAACACATGCTTTCCTTTCATTTCTGGAAGTCCCGGGGTCTACCCGCAGATGCTGCTCCTTCCGTGACCGATGGCATTCAGACTCTCAGCTGCCCACAGTGCCAGGCAAACAACTGGACAGGCCGGCTTAGCAGCCGGAGGCTGGCCACAGTCTCAGCCAGAGCAGCAGCCCCCCAGCCCCAGACCACCTGTGCTGCCCTGCCCGCACGCCGGCCCGGCTGCCTCAGGCTTGCCAGGGCCCCGCCACAGGGGCTGAGCCACAAGCGGCGGCTGGTGGTGGCTGCAGTGGCCTCAGTGCCGGCGTCTTTGGGGCCAATCCAGGCACGTGGGACCCTGTTCCAGGCCACTCTGAGGCCCATCCAGGAGCCGAGAGGGACCCAGGACAGCCCCAGGGCTCACCGTTGCCTTTTGCTGTCGCTGACGATGGAAGCTGCCACTCCCGAATCGGATCCACAGGCTGGACCAGTGGACGTAGGGGACAACAGCGTGAGCAGTGCCCAAGACGGCCAGCAGCAGCAGCAGCTGCTGCTGCCTGTGCTTCCCAAGCCGCCGACCTCCTCGCAGCGAGAGACGAAGTATGTGGAGATGTGTGCCTCAGCAGCCCCGAGGGACAGTCCCCACACTGTGACACTTACCCTGGAGCCCTGTCCTGGAGACCAGTGGGCCCCTAAGAGCCCTAAGGAGACGGTCCAAGAAGAACCCATCAGCCGCGCGCAGAGCCAGATGCCAGCTCCCGGGAAGACTCCTGCTGCGTCCGCACCCACCAGCACCCGGTTATCTCGCACCGCCACCGTGGAGGAAGACAGTTTCTCCTCCTCTGGACCCTCCTCCCCCGTGGACACCGCTCAGGAAGACAGCCTTTCCCAAACCGTAGAGTCTGCCGCATCCCTGGGGGCTCCGGCCACCTCCTCTTCGTCCTTAGGCTTTGAGAGCGAGGACAATGAGATCCAGCCTTTGTTGGAGGAAGGGGCAAGACCAGCGAAAGGAGAGGCCGGCAAGGGAGGGGCGGACCACGACCCAGAGTGCAGGGACATCATTGCCAAGGCCCAAGGCAGCGGCAGGGACGCCCCCAAAAGTGAAGAGGCTCACTACATCACCACCCACGAGATCCAGCTGAGCGAGGTGGAGCAGGACATGGATTTCGACGTGGGTCTGGCCTCGCGCTGGGATTTTGAAGACAACAACGTCATCTACTCGTTCGTGGACTACGCTTCGTTTGGTGGCAGTGACGAGACCCCAGGGGACGTCACCACCCCCACCGAAGAGGACGACGACAACAGCTGCTACCTCAGTACCACTCCCAGCACCAATGCCACCCGTACACCCAGCCCCACCAGCAGCGACCTGGCCCGCCCTAGCGCCGGCAGCAGCAGTCGCGCCACCAGCAGCACGGAAGTGGGCAGCGGCCCCTCTGATGGTGACCCTACTCCCCCACCCACTGGCCCTGGCACCATCACCCTGCCTGAGTCCTTGCCGGGGCCCTGCGAGGCAGCTTCAGGGGCAGTAGCTTTAGCCACTGCTGCCGCCGCAAGCAGCTGTGGGAGTACAGCAAGCCAGATCCTCCTATCAATCAAACAGACTTCCCGGGCTATAAATGAGCCTAGCAACGTGCGTGCAAAGCAAAACATTATTTACGCTGCCAAGCATGAAGGCGACATGAGCCTCAGCGTCTCTACAGCTGCTGAACACAATTCAAGTTCCCTGAAGCAAAATCCGGCTGCCGCCGTGGCTCAGGACCATGCAAAGAAATTCATTGCCGTACCGGCTCGCCTGCAAACCAGGTGCGGGGCCATCCGGGCGAAGGAGCTGGTGGACTACTCCAGCGGGGCCTCCAGCGCCGTGAGCGAGCTGGACGATGCCGACAAAGAGGTGCGTAGCCTGACCTCCCGGGCCTTCCGCAGTCTTGCCTACCCCTACTTCGAGGCTCTCAACATCAGCTCCCGGGAGTCCTCTGCCACGCTCTCTGAAGTGGGCTTTGGGCGCTGGTCCACCTTCTTAGATCTAAAATGTGGAGGTGTTGGCGCCAGGGTGGAACAGAGTCTGCTGCGGAGCAGCGCAGCCTCGGTGGCTGCAGGGCTGAGGAAGGGAGCTGGAGGTGGTGGCGCCAGGACCAATGCAGACCAGCTCTACATCCAGTCCAAGAAGTCCCAGACCAAGGCCTTGGAGTTTGTGGTCAGCAAGGTCGAAGGGGAGATCAAACATGTGGAGACGCCCCTGTGTTTCCAGAAGCAGGTGCAGACTGGCTCCCGAGTCGTCACCCTGCTGGAGCCCCTGAGCCTACGCAGTGAGAGCAAAGCCAGCTCAGCTGCTGGGCCCTCCAAGGCCCCCAAAGGCTCAGCCGGCACGGCTCCTGGTTCAGTGTACACGGACGACGGCTCCGAGACCTCAGAGAGCAGCAAGCCTGTCCCCCGGGCCGAGGGTGCCCAGAAGAAGTCCAAGTTTGCGTCCAGTCTACTCAAAAATGTCATTTCCAAGAAGATGCAGCGGGAACACGAGTTCAAGATGGAGAGGGGAGAGGTCACTGACACCTCCCACCACCATCACCACCTGGCCGGCACCTGCAAGGACACTGAGGGGCCTCCTGGCACCGAGAAGCCGCGGGACAGGAGCCTGCAGAGGCAGAGTTCCCGCCACTCCGAGGCCGGCTCTGAGTGCACCGTGGTCAGTGTTTCTGATGCAGGTGCTGAGGGTTCAGTGGCCGGCTCCAAATCCCCGGTCTTCAAAGCCAGCACTCCTCGGGAGAGCACCGCGGCCTCCGGCCGTAATTTCAACGACACACATACAGAGGAAGTGTGCGAAATTAAAAAGAGTGCCTCTGAGACAGTCAAGGGCATCTTTCTGCGCAGCCAGAACAGCGCCTTCCGGTCGTGGAAGGAGAAGGAGATGGAGAAGCGTGAAGAGAAAGCCCCCATCGGAAAGCTGAAGCTTCCCAAGGGGGGAGACTGGAGGGCTGACCTCGGGGAGATCTCGGCTAGCAAGTCCACCATCATGTCCCGACTCTTCGTCCCCAACATTCAGCAGATGCCTAAGGACAAGCTGCCCGGGAAGCAGGCCACTAAGTATCCTGCAGCCCAGGCCACCTCCACCGCAGTCATCAGGCCCAAGGCTCCGGAAATCAAGATCCGGCTGGGGAGTGTGCAGCAGCCGAGCTCCGACTTCAACATTGCCAAGCTGCTCACGCCCAAGCTGGCCGGGGGCAGCACCTCCAACCTCTTTAAGACCAAGGAGGACAGCAACAGCAGGGCACAGCAGAAACTCTTCCGTGGGGACAACCTTGAAAAGGTGCCCCAGTTCCAGGTCAGAGACGTCCGAGACAAGTCCAAGGCCCAAGGACCCCTTCATCAGGTGAGGGATGTCAGAAAGCTCATTAAAGGGTCGGGGGACAGCAGCGACAAAGGCAGCGTAACCCCAGAGCAGGGGCTGACCGGGTCCAAGCCCAGGCAGTTGGCTGCTGCCGCCGCTGCGTCTGGGTCCCTGTCTCCCATGGTCATTACTTGCCAGGCCCTGGTGAACCAGCGGGAAGACAGCACGGACCGAGAGTCCAGGGAGGGCGTGGGCAAAGGGGGCAGCAGCAGGGTCTTGGATTCCTCTTCCTCTCCAGAAGGGACAGTCTTGGTTCACAGGGCATCTGGCAGGCTGCCTGTGGCCACCATCGCGCCCAACAAGCCCGAGCAGGGCTCCTACCTGCCTGTGCTCAAGATTGTCTCCAAGGCTTCTGCCCAGAAGACACCCGAGAAACCCAAGGATGAGGAGGTCAAGGAGGAAGGCAAAGGCGCCCCACCAGCCCGGAACGCCCTGGAGAAGCTGACTGCCGCCGTGAGGTCCATGGAAGAGCTGTACAGCTTCAACAGGAATGAGTGGAAGCGCAAAAGCGACCCTCTGCCCATGCTGACCGACAGCCACGTGCTATCGTTGATAGCCAGCGAGGAGAGGGAGAGCGGCCTGGGTGCTGAAGGGGACCCTGACAAGCTAGCCAAACGGCTCGTGGAGGTGGAAGAACGCGGCGCGGGTGCCAAAGGCGCCGTGGTGATGCGCGGAGCGCCCCTTGAACGCCTGCAGCGCCGAAATTCCAACCCCAGCGCTGACAGCGTGTCTGCCCGCGCCGCCGCCTTTGAGAGCCTGGCCGCTGGACGCGAGAGGCCGCGGTCTCTCTACATCCCACCCGTCCACAAGGATGTGGAGAGAAGCCACCCTATGCAGGCTCTCCCGCCGCATCCCAGTAACCGCAACGTGCTCACCGTGAGTGCGGGCAATGCCCAGAAAACCGGGGGTGTGGCCGGCAAGTTTCCACTAGGGCCTTCTCCAGAGAGCCCCTCCACAGCCAAGGGCGTCAGATCACAGGGACTCCGGTCACTCAAGATCTCTCCGGCCACGCGGGCACCTCCGGACGAGGTGACCAACAGGAAAGGTGGCATGGGAGTGGAGAAGAGCAGTAGTGATGGTGAGAACTACCTGACTCAGCCACTGAAGGCAGGTCCACCAGCTGCCGCTGTGGCCACCGCTGCCTCTGGGGGACTTCCTGGCAGGCCTGGGGCTGCTGGCAGCGAGGCGCCATCCACCTCCTCAGCTGCCACTCTCTGCAGCTTACCTCCACTCAGCGCCCGCAGTCAGGTCCCCAGCAGCCCCAAAGGCTCTCAGGTCAGTGGAACCAGCCGGCCTGCTTGGAGAACCAAGCCTGATAGTTCCCGGGAGACGGTGGCTGCTACTGCTGCTGCCTCCGCTGCTGCTGCTGCTGCTGCTGCTGCTGGGCCACGAAGCCCCGAGCATCCCCCTACTGCTATATACCACCAGCCATCACTGCCCTTCACCTTGCAGGGAGCCCAGCCTCAAGTCCTCTGCTTCTCCCCACCCGGCATGCCTGCCCCAACTCCTGCAGGCCCAGCTGCCGTCACCGCAGACCCCTTCCAGCAGCCGCAGCCCCAGCAGACACAGAGGAAGATGCTCCTGGATGTGACAACTGGCCAATACTATCTGGTGGACACCCCGGTACAACCCATGACCAGGAGACTGTTCGACCCTGAGACGGGTCAGTATGTGGACGTGCCCATGACCTCTCAGCAGCAGGCTGTGGCTCCTGTGTCTCTCCCCGTGCCTCCCCTGGCCTTGAGTCCTGGGGCCTATGGACCTACCTACATGATCTACCCCGGTTTTCTGCCCACTGTGCTTCCCCCCAATGCCCTGCAGCCCACAGCCATTGCTCACTCACCAGGGGGCAGTGAGCTGTCCCCCGTGGTGGCAGAAGCCCCTGGCAAAGAGGCAGCTGCTGCTTTCACCGAAGTGCCCTACTTCATGGCCTCCAGCCAGTCCCCAGCCTCCCCCTCCTCCTCAGCCACAGCAGCCACATCCCAGCTCGTGGGAGCCAAGGGCTTTGCCCAGCTGCACGGCAAGCCTGTCATCAGCATCACGTCACAGCCCCTGGGGCCCAGGATCATTGCCCCCCCTTCCTTTGACGGCACTACCATGAGCTTTGTGGTGGAGCACAGATGACAGATGGCCGTCGTCAGGGATCAGGATGCAGACGTTACTGGTGAGTAGATTGCGCTCTGGTGCAGGTAGAACAGAGAGCAGTGTTGTCTCTGTGTGGAGTGGGCCATGCCCTATGGGAGCGCGGGCTTTGGAAAGAGGAGAACAGAACCCCAGCTGCATTGAGAACCAATTGATGTTCTCCCCAGGCCCTTTCCTTTCCCACTCCTCAGACCCCAGTCATGATTTCTTCTCCTTTGACCCTTTCGAATTGCCTTAGTGTTTTTTCTCAGGGAGAGTAGGTGAGACAATGAATTTGCCAGCTGTCCCTTCAGCTCTCTTTTGGTAAGGTTTGGCCAAAGCAGGGAAGACATGAAAACCTGGCTTGGATTTTGTGGAGTGAGCCTCATTTTTGGTTCCTGACAGTCCAGGTGGCCAAAGACACCAACCATCCCAGGAAATCCTTAGGAACATGTTCATATGTAAGCTCCTCAGAAGGAAAGGAAATCGAAGAATGATAACCCCTGGTGGGGAGCTTTTCCACCATCTGTAAACTCACCTCTTTCTCCTCCTCTCGCACACCTTCCTCTTGACATTTCTTGCTCAAAGTTGCTGTAATTTTCAAGTTCTAACTTTTCAGTTTTTACATGCGCAGAATAGTCTCTCTCAGAATGGAACTGAGATCTTTATCGTGCACATATGCACACACACACACTCACATGCACACAGCTGGACTCGCAGGAGCAAGAAGATGCTGGACTTGAAGTCGTGCCTGCATGCAGCTGCTATATTTGATCCAGTCCTGGAATCTGTTATGCTGCACCCCTCACCAATCCCCAGAAAGCACTCATTTTCCTATCTGCCTGTCTCCTTTCAAAAGAGTCTACATTTTCTCAGAGTAAAGGAAATTGGAGAGAACAGACTCCTGACTTGGAGGTTTAGCCACATCCACAGACAGGAACCTTGCTGTTAATACAGTCCATGAAACTTGATAGCAAGCCTATGAGCCAGAGTAAAGACACCTTCAGATGGGGGTACAGAGCGGTCAGTGCTGTAGGAGTGATCCACCCCCCCCCCCACACACACACTTATACTCTTTCTTCAGATGCGGAAAGTTGAGATCATAAATCCTTTCACTCCCTGGTAAGACCATATACACTGAGTCAAACAAGGAGATGGAGAGAAACAAGCCATGCGTGTGCTACTATAACAGGAATAAGTAATTTCTTTTATCTGAAATGAAACAGAAGAACATTATTGCTTCATACAGTAAAAAGCTTTAAATTAAGGAGTAGGATTGCTGGATTGTAGTTGCACAGGTCCTTGCTGACTGTGGGATTTTGGGCATGAGAAATACTTTGGCATTTGTGTGTCACCTCTAGGGGAGCTGATATCTATCCCTCCATGTGGATCTGAAATTCGGTTGATAGAGCAATGTATTACAAGCTATTATTCTCTGATCTTTAGGAATTCAGGTTTGAAAGCAAAAGCCTGGTTTTAGCTGCAATCTAGACAAAAATGCTTCGGGGCATTTCTCTTCCAAATACCTGCAACAAGCCTGGTGTGATGAACACAGAACATGGGAGGAACTAAGTCAAATCATGCATTCTTTGTTTGGCTTGGAAGATAAAGGAAAAATTCAATATGCATGTGGAGGCGGCTCAGAATTACAGATGTAGTTTTGCAGGAGAAGAGTCTTCTATGGGCAAAAGCATTTTAATCTCCTGGACAGGTGGCGTGTTTACCTAGGGCTATTTTCGATCAACTAATCCTTGAGGCCTTTGTGGGGCTACGAGGTGCGATAGGAAGGGGTGGGAGCGAGAGCAGAGGCGGGAGGATTGTGCAGGCACACACTCACACAGTGCCTTCTGGGCAGCTGCCCTTGGCCTTTCTCCTGTTTGCTGAGTCTGGAGAGATTAGGCTTGGAGTTGTTTCCATGAACACAGAGAAAAAGCACAGATTCAGGATTCAAGACTTGAACACTCCCTTTCTGAAAGCACAGCTGTTTATTTAGTAAACAACCCTCAAGCTAGAATGGCAAAAGCTGGTGTCTTGATTCTTAATCTAAGAAGAGCAGTCAGGAATCCAAGGCTGGCTTTTTATAGGAAGGTAAACACCTGATTAGCCAGACTTAGATAATGGATCAAAATTCTTCAAAACTCAAGTTCTTGAATGTTCTAATGCCACTTCTCACAAAAAAAATGACAGATACATTAAAAAAAAAAAAGAAAGAAAGAAAGAAAAGGAAGTACACAGTTCTTTGCCTTGTGTAACAAACTTTTATTGACACCATCCAGATATTTCCAGAGCCAGGCCCCCAGAGAATGAGAGAGCCAGGACTTTGGAGCTGGGTTTTCCCTCCAGTGCCATATCAGGCTCCCTGCAGACTGCTCTTGGTGGTCCTAGTGGAATACACAGAACAAAGGAAGGGTAGCAGAGGTGAAAGCAGAAAGTACATCCAAGATCTACTCCCTAGTGGTGTCTGGGTATGAATCATATATACTTCCACTTACCTCTCCCTAGACATTTGTAAAACGATTTTTTGGACACAATGTGCTGATTTTCCCAATCATTCAACAGATGTGAATGACATGCCCCCCTGTGCCATTCACTGTGCACTCACCCATGTACTATAAGTGCACGTGTGAGCTGGTGGAGTTTTCAAGTCAGGAGTGTACACTCCAACAGAAAGGAACAGACCTCTGCACACGACCACAAAGAAGGATTCCAGAACTGTCAGAACCTTTAAGGTTCTTTCCAGTTCAAATAATAAAGTATTTTGTCATCTGTTTCTAGCGGCACCTTAAAACAAGGAACCTTTTTCTTGCCCCTGTAATCAGGATTCCAGGACTCCTTGAATATTGCAATACCACAATCTATCTAAAAATACTTACCTCTTTTATTAGTTAATCTTGTTACTTGTTATTACTGCTATTTTCTTGCTGTTTAGTCAGGCCGTTACACCATGTGATGAGTAGGCAAGGCTGTTCTGTGACTGGCACCTGGTGGCCCCAGGCCAGCTAACCACACCATTGACACATTTGTATCACACCAGAGATCCGGGCACTTCACTTGTGTGCCTTCACCACTTCCCCTGCTGTTGTTCTGCTTTGTGGTTGGTTTGTTTATTTTTGGTTTTGGAAGTCCCTGCTTCACAGGCTCTGTGATGCCTTTTTGGTGATACTTGGCTCCAATTTTTGTTTATTGGAGACGTGTGGTTATATTTTTCGTTCCTTGACACAGCCACCTTCAGCTCTTCTGTACGCTCACCTAAATGCCACATTTTGTTTTAAATTTTTAATTGAGACTTGACAGTAAACACCAGTTACAGGAGCATAAGGGTCAAGTAAATATGCAACACTCACCAAAGATCCATCATTCAGCGCCAATCCCAAGAGAGATGTAACTGTTTTTATTTCCTAGGGATGTCTTTTTTTTTGCCTGCAGTCTTCATTTTTGAATGTGCTTCATGTTGTTCCTGAAGTTTTGGTCTTTCACCTCTGCTCACTTCCTCAGAGCTGTTTTTTTCCCCTCTGAACAGAGCTCTCAGGTCAGCAGCTTCTCCTCGTGTTTTTTGGTAGTTCACTTTCACTGCTGACAGGGTGGCTTGGAGGACAAGGCTGGGCACCCTGAGGACCCTGAGGACCCTGCCCATCCCCTCCCCTGAAGGATCCTTGAAGCTGGGAGCAGCCCCTGCGAGTCAAGGTGCTGGTTGCCCTTGTCAGGCAGGCAGGCAGTGGTCAGCTAACTGGACTGCAGAAGGCAAACTGAGGGTTCTCAGTTCATTCCATAACTCCATTCAAGAACCCATTCATTATGCCTATCCCCTTCCCCACTTAGTGTGGCTTCCTCTCCCAAATTTTGCATATAGACGTCATTATTATTATCGCCTTTCCTTTTCTCCCTTTCACCTTTATGAAATTGTATCTTTCCTCTACCTTCCTCTTTCGTGCCTTTCTGCAAGGTGCCACTGCTTTTATACTTCTCCCTTACTCTCTCTAAATGTCAGTAAAATTGGAGAATAGTAGCTAATGTGTGTTCATCACTTGTTATAGTCCAAAACGTAGCAGTGCACCATTGGATTCTTTCAACAAGTGAAAGCTATTTTCAAACCTTACTTGATAAATGAAGGGCTTGTTTTAGATCAGCAGTTCCTGAGACTCGGGACCTTGCAGCTCCATTGCCATGCTCTTGTAGATGACCCCTGGTTGGCCCGTTTTGCTTACTCTCTACCCTCTGCTCAGAGCTCCCTGTCATGAATGGTGCCCCTTTTGTTATTTGCCTTTTAGGTATTTGTACCTGCCTTCTCCAATTTTTTTTTTCAGCTAATGCTTTTTGCCAGTTGGTAAAGGATTAAATATAGGAGATGAATGTTGACTGGAAACACTGCAGTTGGCTTTCCTGATGTCAGTTTCCTGCAAATAAACATAAAAGTCCTATCAAAGAGGAAAGAATCTCCTGGCCATTTCACTGCTGGGAACTGCTTGTCAGCCACTAGGCTAAAGTGTGTTATCTGGAGGAAAGCTAGGTGACTTCGACACTGATACTTCATAGTATGGACAAATGAATTGCCCTTTCTGAACCTCAACGTCATTTTCTGTAATATGGGATACTATTCAGAAAAATTGTGAAGCTTGAATTAAAAATCCGTTACAAAAGATGTACCCACAGTCCATGACATGTAACAGGTGTTCGGCCTCCCTAGGACCTCCTTACAACCCCATAATTCCTTTATTTCAACAGATCTTCCCATCAAAGCAGAAAAGCAGCCCTTATCCCAGCACCTCTTCAGGACAGCATCAGGGGTCTGTGGCCAGGATTGCTCTGTATGTCCCAGACTAAGGGCAATGGCTACTGCTCTACAGTGCCCTTTGAGCTGGCTCCCCCTCAGGGCAGGCCACTGGCTGTAGTCAGGGTACTCTATCATCCACCAAGACCTTCCAGAATGTTATACAACTCCTGGCGGAGCTTGCCAGCTGTGTGTGGTGATTTTCCTCTCTGTCTGGGCACAGGCCTGTGTGGAG